GCAAGGAAGATCAAGTGGTGTTGTCTCATTGGGATTACACGAAGAAGAGTCTTCATAGGTAAAATTTAACATTCTTCCCTGTTTTATATTATTTTGTGTTTTAAATTTCAAAAGAAATTCAAGAACGTGTTCTACTACTTCCGCTCCGTGATTCACATCCCCTTCACTGTCATCCTGTCTCGCTAATCTTCTATTATATTACATGACTCCTCTCGGTAATCTTCATCGCGCATCAGTCTTGATTTCCATGGAAATTCTCCTAGAATGAGTTAAATCCTAATCAACACTGAGTAGACAGTTTTGGCCTTAACTGGAGTTACAAAGTGCCACATGAGACTAAATTTGATGGCAGTGAGTGAGAATGAGTAGAGGAAGGATAACATCGGATCAGTCCTTCCAACCACGACATAACTTCGATAAATAATAGCGTTGACCACCATGTAAAAGACAAAAAAATGTACCAATGATCTCAAATTTCTAGGCTATGCACGGTCCACTCTTTTTTTGAAGCAAATCTACTTTTGATCTTCTTCCTACTGCTATCGCTATTTTTGGTCGTGAAAATGCAAATTTCAGAAAACATTTTAGCAATCTAAGTGGTGTGGACCATACTTTTGTCAAATTACATGGTCGGTAACTTTGTGCATACAAAACTCATAGATAGTTCCACATACAGAGTAAGTGAAAGTGTGAATTCCACTCAAATCATGCAGACGCACATGCGCAAACTCTATAGAGACTCTATAATGTGGAGCACACACCCATTCTAGATGCACCAGCATATGTCTTCTTCAAAAAATAGAAAAGCCATAAAAGAGTAACATTCCTTGTAAACTCAATAGAGACGTTGTAATTGGAAGCACATTCGATTGATGATGTTTGTAATGACCATAGGCAGGCGACAACAAACAATGATAAGTGATTGTGCGAAGACAATGTTAAGCATGAACAACGGGAGACATTATAGTCCATGTGACATAATTGATTACATTTCGAAGAAGCATGGAATCAATATTAGTTATGACAATGTGTGGAGAGGAAAGAAGAAGGCTAGCTTTAAACTCATTAAGTTGGTCACCTGAACAGTTGTTGCTCTCGTCCCGTCTTTTGCAGCCAGGCTGATCGAGAAAAATTCAGGTATCATATGTGTCTTTACTTACTCTGTCTTTATTTTGTCTATATGCATATTTACTCTATATATGTCTCCCAATATAGCTACCCCTCCATAGTTTTTAAAATAATATTTAATTTTTCAATCCTATTTTTCTACTTGTTTTCCACTTTTCTGCATTGATTTTACATTTTGTTAGGTCATTTTTCATATTCTTTTGCATCTTAAATTCCTTTTTTTAATTTCAAAGTATGCATTTAACAAATTTTATTTTTGAAATTTTGATTCACTATTTTATTTCCTAAGATCAAGTTGTAGCAAAGAGTTGTTTCGAAGGTATTTTTGCCACAAAATTTTAGGGGTAATGGTGGTACAATTTTAGCTATTTTGGTGACAGATTATATTTGCCCACATTAAATTCTAGCGTTGAACTATAACTGTCTGGTAGCCATTATTATAATACTGGATACTTTTGGTATTTTCAAGTCACACTATTTAATATAGTCATTCCTCTAGTTGCCCCAAATAATTACTTACGGTCCATACTTCTTTTCTAGCCTCTATCACAAGTTTTAGAGTTTTATTATTGGGCTTAACATCTTAACCTATTTCTAGGTATACAAGGTTCATGACATTGCAAGATTTAGAAAGCTTGTAATTTTAGCTTGGGTGAACTTGGTGGATCAAAACAAATACAAAGACTAAATCTTTTTTAAATTGGTGCATATAACTAGCATAACAAAAAAAAATTATAATTACATGTTATTTAAAAAAGTTAAAATAACAAATCTTAAACTAACAAAAATCTAAAACCACTTAGTTGAAAAAAAAACACATGCAATAATATGCAAAATCCAAAATCAAATCAAATTAAATCAAGGATTAAAAAAATTAAAAATAAAAATAAAAGAATTGAAAAAAAAATTGAATACGAAAGGAAAAAAAAGACTAAAAATTAATATTTAAGTTTGAGAAATGCCAGTTGTATCATAAGAAACATAATTTCAATTTAGATTTTAGAAATCGAAAATGTAAGAAGATTTGTTTTCTGAAACTATCTAGAAAATCATTTGAATGTAAATGGAATGACAAAAAAAAAAAAAACAGATATTCGGGTATCTTTAAGGATTGGTTTTCATGAGAATCCAATATTTTTACTGGATGAACATCTAAATTCTCACGTTTGTTTGATAGGAATGTAAGATACTTGAACATCTCAAGATACTCGTGTATGATGTCTATAGAGGCATCTAGTGTGCTTTAGATTGTTCTTAAACATGGATTTTCAAGATTTCCACGAGGGTATCTTTTTTTACATTTTGCCATTCATTCTTTTTTTTTTTAATATTTTTTTATTTCATTAATTTTCCTTATTTTTATTTTTAATTTTATAAATTTAAAAAAAATAATATACTCATTTAAACAACTTTATACAATTAGGTATATTTATATATTACATTTACCTATCAAATAAACTTCATTAAAATTATATAATATCTCCATTTATTTTTAATATTTTGAAGGAATTATTATTAATAATATTCACTATTTTAAATATATAATTTTAGAGCAACATTTTTTTTTTGTAACGATCAACATATTTTTTTTCTTAAGAAAATATATTTTGATAATATGACAAATAAATTTCACCCAAGATAATATTAATTATATAATTATCTTTTTGAAAAAAATATTAAAGTTGAAAATGAAAATTTTATTTAATATTAATCATTTTTTTTAAGAAAATCTTATACTAATATGAATTAATTTGTATACAAAATAACAAACAAAAGTTAACATATATATATATATAATTAATACAGAAAATAAAATAAAATATCAAATTATAAAACAAATCTATTATATAAATATAAATTATATTAAATTAATGTATAAATTATATGAATATTCACAAGGTTATTCTTAGGACCGTATATTAATTTAAAACATTCCTTAGAATAAATCTAGCAAAACAAATATAGATATCCAAATATTACATATATCCTTATAAATTATCCTACAAACAAACATCACTGTCTAATTATTTTATTTTTAGTCTCGTGTTTATGAAAAGAAAGCCTGTAAAACACTATTTTCATCGATGTTTACATATATATATATATATGTTCATCAATGTGTGTGTATATATATCAACATTTTAAAAATGTGTTTTCAAAATCAAAATCAAATTTAAAACTAAAAAAAAGTTTTTATATTTTTAAATTTGAGTGAGAATTCTAATGTATTTTAATGAAAGGTAGAAATATGCTTCAGAAATTGTGACAACAAAACGTAATTTTCTAAATAGAAAACTAAAATCTAAATGGTTATGAAATGAAAACTTATTATTATTATTGTTGCGCCTCTTCTTAAAACCATTAATACTATTAAAATATTCCAACTCCACAGGGACTAGTGTCTTTTAAAATTAATTTTGTAAATTACTTAAAGCAAACGAGTTTGAGATAAAAATTTGGTGAATATGTTGGGAAACACACAATTTAAAAACATAAGGATTAAAAAAAATCAACCTCCTACTAAGATTTAGTTCTAAAAAGATGAATTACACCTACCAAACGTGCTCGTAATTATGCTCAATTTATGCAAACTAATTCAACTCCTATTCCATACCTTTTTCGGTTTGTTTAGAAGCTTAGGCTAGCGTTTACATATGTCTATAAAACTCAAGAATCCTAAACAAATCAAATTTCAACTTACGTTTAATGGGTAAGAGAGTCTATGTCTAGGATATTGTTTTATTTCTTATTTTTAAGTAACTTCCCGTTTTACCTTGATGAGATCCGTTTGACTCTAAACTTTTCAGAATTAAAATCAAACTAACGTGATTTAACAAGTGACCAACATGAAAATCAACTGGATAAATTATATCAATCAAGATAAGAAAAAGTAGTGTAATACGTCGTGCTCACTAATAGATGCAATTTAAAATAGATGAACTAAACCATTTGTAGGAGGATTGAAGAAATAATTTAGCTACTCATGGAAGTAAAAGAATTGAAATAACAAAAGAATGCATTTCATTAGAATTTGAAAGAAAAAACAAAATTGGAACAAAAAAACAAAATTGGAACAAATTGAATTGCAATAAAATAAACAAAGAATAATTGCAGAAAAATTAATTGAAGAACAAAACTTAAATGCTAAAATAAAAACTCAAAAACAAAAGTTGATAACAAAGTAGAAAGGGAGAACAAAAGCATGAAAATGAAGTGTCTTGAGATGATCCTTGGGCTTCAATTTATAGGCTTGGAGGAAGTAACAAGTTGAAGAATTATGGATGTAGCTGCAGCATTGTGAAGCTGAATCTTTCAAACTAATGTCGCTGGCACATTCTGATGATAAATCTTCAATTTTCTTTACAAAGTAAACATGTTTATACCAATCAGCCTTCATTTACCTATAACTAAATACCTAAATCCTTAATCACAAAATATGCACATTTTCCCTAAATTATATGCATGAACATACATTTTCCATCCTAAATAACCCTCCACCAAACATGCAAACCTATTCTTTTATTATTTTACATTTTGACTTGTCTTATTTCTTGTTTTAATTTTTAATATTAGTATAACAGCTCGTGGGAGTAGGAATTCGAACCTACGATTTCTTGACAAGAGATATACGACTTGCACTCCTGTTGTCTTACTTTTATTTGCAATTAGAATAAAATTTAATAGATATAATATAAAAAGATATAGCATATATTTGAAAAATATAATTCATTAAATAAAAGGTAATTATATTAGGTAGCAAAATTATTTTATATATTTTAAAAAATGTCACCCTCTTTTTAAATTTGCAAAATATAGCAAAATGTTATAATTGTTAGGTTGAAATGTTTCATTATTCTAATTGTACCATTCTCTTTTTTTTTTTTTTTTCCAGATCGCACGCGCATTCTTCCTCTTCACGTTGAGAATTTTCTTCGTTGGCTCTCCTTTGCTCGACAGCTTCAACTCGCCTTGAGATTGTTCATCGTTAGCTTCCTTCGTCCTTTTCGCCAATGTAGCGACATATTGCCCTAGATTCTGTGCTGAATTCCGATCAAGTTGCATAATCGAAAACCCTAGGTTTTACTAATTTGAAGTTTAGAAGGTGAATTGGAAGAGTGAGAGAGCGAATCGAAGGTCAATTACCAAAGAGGGAGATGCTTTGGTCTTGAAATCGGACATTCAGGAGCAAGACAAGAGTGAGATTAAGAGAGAGTAAAGAGAAATTGAGAAATTAGTACCTGAATCTTGAGGAATTTTGGTCACTTGCTGTCCTTCGGCCATGTGGACTGAAATGAAGTGAAACTCGACGCTTTTTCTCGAGAATCTTGAGAAATTCTGGCTACTTCTGTCATTTTATCCTTCTTGTAGGGCACAACAACAGAGAAGATATTGATCTTAGTGGATTTGTGCTCTAAATCCACCGGGACAGATAATTTTCTAAGCTGAGAATTTTCTGGGGAATTATATAGAACATATATTAGTGGTAAACCATAGATATATCAAGTCGTACGTATATATGCAGTAGACCTATGGTAAATCATATAATGATATCATAAGTTATATAAGTAGATATCATAGTTATATCAATATCAGAAGTAAATCAGTTGTGTATATTAGTACTACATCAGTAGCATATCAAATGTATATCAAGTATATATATGATATATATCAGTAGTAAATCAATAAAATGGTAAATTATATAATCATATAAGAAGTTACATCAATAGATATTAGTTGTATAACAATGGTATACCAGTTATATTCTATCAAGTATATATCAGTATTATATCAGTGGTAAATCATATAATCATATAAGAAGTTATATCAGTAGATTTTGTAGTTATATTGGTGGTATATCAGTTGTATTTCAGTGGTACATCAGTGATACATTAGTTGTATATTAGTGATAYATCAGTGGTATATCAGAAATATATCAAATATATATCAGACATATATGAGTGCTTCCATGGTAAATATGACCTTTTTACAATTTGGCCTCCGTTTTTTTTTTCTTTTTTGAAGTAAAGTTGCTATATTTGAAAAAGCTAAATGTAGATGCTAAATGTGTTATTTAGCTTAACCTTTTTGTCATTATTATAAGTGTCCCTTAAATAGAATATAATTTACAATACAAATTTCTTTCGTATAAAAGTTTAAATTATGGACTATAATTAAAGAATAAATTTTTAAAATATTTTTTAATTTAAAAAATAGGAAAGACAAAAAATAAAAAGCCGCTGCTCATGATAATTGAACCAAGGGACCTAGAGGGGGATAGGACTTAGCTTATAGGTGCACAACTACACTAACAAAGTTGAGGAACCATTCTAATTAATAACACACAATATATATTATTTAATCTGAGACCACACGAAAGTAAAAGGAAATAAAAATGGGAAAAACAGAACTACCTCTTTTAGTTTCTAAAATTTAGTCCTTTTTTTTTAAAACATTTCTCAAATTTTAGAAACAAAAAACGAAATTGGTTACCAAACCTATCTACTTCTCGAAAAATAAAAAAAACGAGAACAAAAATAGAAAACGATAATGTTACCAAACGGAGCTTAAACTACCCTAAAATAAAAGAAAAAAAATTGTAGATGGATCTATTTTACATCTTTAATTTCAAAATAACTCATTTATGATAGGATTGGTAAAAGTATTTTGACTAATTAAAGACACTATTTTAAAATTTGCATAGGGTTTAGTTATATAATCAATAGTTATTTGAAAACAATTAAATAAAACACTTAAAATACTTTTAGAAGAACTTGATTAGTTTTTTCGAAATTTTCAATCATTTAGCAACAAGGTTATGATTTTGTAAATATAACCATTTATTTATTTTTGGTGCACGTATTTAAACCTTTTTTTTTTAATGTAATTCAGTGATAGATGTCTGCTGGGCTATATCACTGAGGATGGTGTTACTATATTTACAATTGATCTTTGTTTTGTCATATATGCAAGCCCGCTTAATTTAATTTTATTTCGTTAAAATATTATTTTGGTCATTGTAAGCTTTGATTCATTTTCACGAAAACCGTTTAAGATAAAGTCATGGTGGCTACATTTCAAAAAGTAGAGTGTTATGTTGAAATTGTAATAGAGAAAATGAGATTAAAAATAAAAGCAAAGGACCAAAATGTTAATTTTTAAAAAGTATAGGGACCATAACAAATATTTTGAAAATATATGGACTAAAATTACCAAAGTAATGAACTAAAGATTCAATTACGAACCAAAATAATATTTTAACCACTTTTTTATTCTTTCTAGAAGTACTTTAATCGCTATTATAATTTTAATTAAGAAGGATTTTTGCTATTATAATTTTAATTAAGAAGGATTTTTTTTATGGTTATGAAAACAAATCAATACGGATTAGGATTAGTAATGATTAGTTATGTATCAATTTTTATTTAGTTGGGTAAGGTATCCATTTGGGGATTTTTTTCTTATATCATTAGGTAAACCTAATTTTCAATTTTAATCCAAGAATCGTTTATGAATTCACAATCGGTTCCCATTTGTCCTGAATTATTTCTTTTGTGACTGAAAATCCACATTTTTTTTTATTTTCTTTCAATAGTTTAAAAGTCATCTGAAACAAAATGGTCCAACTGTATGTGTGTCCAAATAGAGTTGGTTAAATTGCAAGTAAAGTTTCCTCACTAGCAGTAAAATACATTATTAATTTGGAACAAATGATATTCTCTCTTTACATTGGAAAAGAGGAGAAGAGAGAGAGAGGGGGGAAAAAAAGGAAAAATAACAATAAAAAGCCT